GTTATATGAGATTTTCAAAGGCTTGTTTTCAAATTCCTTGATTGAGAAAAATTACTTTGACATATTATTTATGAGATATTTTCTTTGTAAATAAGTTTTGAATGGATCTTTTTTTTATCCTATTTAGTTATTCTGAGTTAGGCCTCTGTTTTTCAAAAGACAATTTATACCCTGAAGGATGTCCGATAGAGGGTTAACAGAATCGGATATTCTACCTTCTTCCGATTGAAATTTGTTAACCTATTGAACTCTTGAAACTCTAAAGTTTAAATTATTTAAGAAATTCTCATATGAATTGTTTTGATAAAAAAAAAATTTGGCTTCTTTTCAAATTGTTTGTTTTTAGCTTTTTATTATTGTTCGTTTTCTTTTCTTTTACTTTGTTTTTATTTTATTTTTGAGAGCTTTGATCATCACCATCATTCATTGTCTAATCAAAATCTAGTCACATCGTCCTGGCCGATACTTTTATCGTCCTAGACGATAGGGCAAATTCTCTTCAGATTTCCATCTGCTGAACTTTTCTGGGCTTGCTATAATTCTTCGTCCTGGATGATACTTTATCGTCCTGGACGATCTGATCGAACTCTATTGCAATCATGATGATAGTCCTGGCTGATAACCTATTTCGTCCTGGCCGATGCATTTTATGGTCATCATCCTGGCCAATACACTAGATCGTCCTGTACGATTCACGTGTCAGCACGTTTAAAACCTTAAAATCGGCCCCGGACAATCCATTATTGGACAATCGTCCTGGCCGATCCACTGTTCGTCCTGGACGATACACGTGGCACAGATTGAAAATGTTTTAACTTCGGCCGGTACGATCAATTATTGTGCATCGTCCTGGACGATACACCTAATCGGCCCGGACGATCTATTTTTTCAACGGTCGTCCGGATTGACTCCTCGGGACGATCGACTGTGTCTAATCGTCCTGTACGATACACCTTTTGTCCCGAACGATCGGACTGCCTTTTTGACCAATCGGCCTCTACGTAATTATTGTGCCATATCATCCTGGACGATTCTGCGATCGGCCTGGACGATATGGTCATTTTCTTTAAATTCTGGTCGTTCCAGCCATGTTTTTCACTTCACATCCCTTCTCCTCTTGAGTTTTCTTACTAACTCCTTTCTATGGCTGGTGGGAAACGTGCTCGACAAATTTCTGGGAGTTTTTCGAGGGCTAGGATTGACCCTCGTTTCAGGGAGGCAGAAGATGAAGCTGCTTACCATCGATACAAAAGAATGTGGGATAACTGTCTCCAGAATCATCAATCATGCTCACCTTTCGTATCCGGTAATGGATCTTTTCGCTCACACCTCCCTTTATTTCATTCTGTCTCTTGCTTTCCCCTTTAATACTGAGCTTCTTCGAAAATTCTTCACAAACCTTCGCATAAATCCTATTTTTACAGCCCTGACCTTCTATATGAATCGACGCCCTGTCGAAATCACATATCAGGATTGCGTTGAACTCTTACAGCTATCCACCACCGGGGAAAAGCTGCACTTAATCGCTTCAGATCCTGACTTTGACTGGTCCACGGTAAATCACTTCCTTCGCCATACCAATGCACGTTTTCATGTTAGAGAGACTAGATCTTTAGTCAAAGATGCTATGACAATCCAACATATCCTTCGCACCTCCATAATTCCAAAAGCCGGGCACCGAATCCACATCACTCCTCTACTCTCCCTAACTACTTTCTACATCATGGAACATAGAGAATTTAATATTGCGTACTTAATTTTTTGGTACATTGATCACTTAACCACAATCCGCGATTCAGGATATAAGAGAAAACCCAATCTAGCTTTAGGACACCTCATAGCCTATGTCCTTGAAACCAAATACCAACTTCAGTATCCTATTCCACCCAACCTCCCAACTCTCTTCTACTCAAACAATTCCTTCAGTACCCTTCATAGTACTCGTCTCCACCCTGGGGATGAGGAACCTCGGGGGGCTGAGGAGGAGGAGGCTCCCGCTCCAGTTCCTGATCCTGTTCCTCTCCACCTGCACTCACCGTTTGATCAGTTGATAGAGAGGTTTGATCGATGGGAGACCCGCTTTGACACTTACGTTGCTGCACAGGAGCAGCAACATTCTGAGGATATTGCCCGCTACGAGCAGCACCGCACAGAGGATTTAGCCCGTTTTGATAGTTACATTACTCACCAGCAGCAGCAGCATGATCAGGACATCATCTGGTTCAATGCTCAGTTTACTATGCTTGCCAGCTACTTTCAGCAGCCACCTCCACCACCTCCATCTGATGATCAGGGTCCCTCGTTCTTCTAGTCTGTGTTTTCTATTTTTTGTTTTCTATTTTCTGTAGTTTGTCTTGTAGTTTGTTTTAGTTTCTGTTGTGTTGTTTACTTTTTCTTTTATGTGTCTAGGAGCCTCTTTTTGTGATGAAAAAAGGGGGAGTAGGATGTGATAGGAAAAGTTGATGTGCTTGTAACTTTGAAATTTTAATGAATTGTTGTTCTTACTGAGCTTTTCCTACTTGTGTTTGCCATCATCAAATAGGTGGAGATTATTGTAAATCTATTTTCATGACTTATATTTTGATGATTGACAAATATTATTGATTCTCTTGGACTGCCTATTACTTCTAACTTTTCAGGAATCGAATATCGGACAAACAAACGAAGCCAGTTCAAGATTGCGTAGGTTTAGGGTTGAGTCAGTCTGTACTTTATTTTTTCTCTTCTTGAGTC